CCCCGATCGGTATTCAAGTCAAGACGTATTGTATCAGATGCTGGCACAGTTTTGCCGGAAGTTTGCAAGAAGTAACTTTTGGCAATGCAGTATGTTAGAGTAACCTAGTAGGTGTAAGAAAATATAAGGTGATGGCCTTTAAAGTGGTAAAAACAATTTTCACGGCCGAATTGGACTTCAATTCCTGCGATTTCAGGGGGTACTATAAGACTATTTCATAACATAAAGGATATAGTTGCTATTGTTCTGCTTTCTACAGCACACATTACTAGTCCAAAGATGAATAATATCCTAAAGTTATAGGCCGATATCTGTATTAGTCTCAGAAATATTGCAATTAATAGGAAAAAATACGCAATTTTAGTCATTTTTAAGTCTCACGTATCTTATATTTGTAGCTTCCAGCAAAAGATGGCAGCTTAAATAGCTCAAAATTGTTTTCTAAAAACTAATTCAAGCTTTGTTTGATATTGTAATACAATTATAATAATGATAATGTACTATTTATGATTTTTAATATGACTTTATAGTACCCTACCCCTGGAAAGTCGGCGTGGTCAATGTTATTATTTTGTAGCATACAATTAAAAACTTATATTGATAGAAAGCAAATCAATGCATTTTTAACATTTTCACTTGTTACTTGACATTGTAATTCATTCATTACTAAAATATAGGACTCTACATATTTTATATATACGTTTTCAATTTTGTACAATGTATCATGATGAAATCTAATAGGCTGGTTCATTTTCAGTGTTCACTAACGCATGAAATGTAAGTCACAGTGTTTCCAATTACCTTTGCAATGACAAAGTACCACAAAGACTACATAATATTAGCAGTTTCAAGGTCCTAATACTAATACTTACCGATCTATCGGCGTTTGGAAATAGAGAAAGCTGTCGTGAGTGCAGTTTTAACTAACTTTGAACTGAAACTGCTGCTTAATGAATATTTTTCTCAACATCTGTGACTTTTTTAGACCCCAAACATAAGATACCAAGACATAATGCTACCAAGTTCTGATATTGGAAGTTTCAGAGCTCTAGATTAAAGGAAACCTGGTCATTGTACCACCAATAATAGGTAAATATAATATTGGTAATATATACCAAGTGTTTACTTTAATTCCAAGGCATCTGGATTGATAAATAAATGAAATCAGTACTTTATTGTATCTTGGGACAAAATACACTGTTTGAATGCTTAAGTATCAAGTGAAAGATACGCTGTTATATACAGCTATATATCACTTTAACTGACTTTACTCTTCAATTTGAAATATGCCTGGCCATTCTAAAAATGCGACGGAGGGCAAAGAGGGTGCATGGTTTGGCAATTAAGCTCTTCTAGAGTTTAAAGCTCCCACAATTTTAAAAACGAAATGGAGAATAACATGTGAAAGTATAGGATGGACTAATTGTTTTAAGAAAGTTTTTGAAAGTAACATTGCATGATATAATTAAGCAAGAGATATGTTCCAAAATACTTTCAGGTAGAAATAAAGCTCCGTAATGTAAAAACAATGTATTCTCAGTATTCAATAATAACATTCTTTATAGGTTTTTTGGTCTTAAGCATATATTCAGTGATTATCCCATAGTTGCAAGGATATAGATCGAATATCACATGAAGATATATTTGATATGTGGATCAAGTTATAATATTTTAGCAAAAAATTCACAAACCATCGAATATCACTTTTAAACTATCGAATATCATGTCTTAAAAAGTGATATTCAGTGGTTTGAAAAGTGATATTCCATGGTTTCGATTTTTTTCAAAAAAAAATTCTTTTTACATTTTTTAATTATTTTCAAAAATATTTAAAAAAAAATTCAACATTTTTTCACAATTTTTTTTCAATTATTTTTTCAAATTCTTTCTCGTATTATATTTTTCACATTTTTTCGCTGATGATGATTTCCCATGGGATAAATAAATTTTCAAAAATATCGATTATATCCACTCATGGATACAAATATCTTCACTCACTCGCTGCGCTCACTCATGAAAATATCAATATCCACTCATGGATATAAATGATATTTTTTCAAAACCATAGGATATTCCTATATTATATCAATCCGGATGCTGAAGTCACTTAATAAATAATAACTAGATGTAACTCCTAGTAAGCACTTCAAGTTTCAGTTCTAAATAAAATACAGTTTAGTTAAAAAATTGTTAAGAATACATACATTTTTTCACAATCACAATTTTACCATTTCTGACTGTATTTTGCATATTTTTAGGTGTCGATGGTTCAATGATTATTTGATATAACCTCCTGAAACTACTCTCATATATATTTGGTGGTACAGTGATATGGAATCCTGTCTTTTGGGGTCTCAAGGAATTCTTGTTTTAGAGAAGAAAATCTTGAAAGCTGCAGTTTAATATTATGAATTATAGGTGAAAATTGCACTTGCTACACTGCTTCTCCCATTTTTAGATGCTAATAAATCTGTAACTACTCTTACTATGACCTTAAGTCTACTCATATGTATTATTGGTATTACTAACTAGAGGCAGAATCAGAAATTATGGTAAATAAAAGTAAAATTTAAGAGATACATTGTTCTGAATAGTGCATAATTGTCACATTTTTTCGCGATATCTGACTGCATTTTGTGTCTTTTGGGTCTTTTTAAGAGTCCATGCAGATATGAATACTTGATCTAGAGCTCTGAAATTTTCAATACCAGAATTTGGTAGCACTATGTCTTGATATCCTGTGTTTGGACTCTAACCAAATCACAGTTGTTGAGAAAAAAATTCAATTAGTTGAAATGGCACTCAAGACAGCTTTCCTCATTTTTGAAAGCCGACAGATCAGCAAGCATTTACACCATGATCTTGAAGCTGGGCATACATATTCTTAATGGCACTATCTCATTGCCCAGATATTGTGGAAACATTGTGACTTATATTCCATGTGATAGTAAGCACTGAAAATGGACTTGTTGCATTGTGGCGGACCCCATACAAAACAAACATAGGGGTAGGGGGGGTTTAAACGTTGATCAGTTCTGCTATTTTTTGTGGCTATTGGTCATATAGTAGATCATTTTGTCAAAAGGTAAGGGTGATCCGAGAAAAAGTTTGTAAATTGAAACAGCCTATTAGATTTCATTGTGATACATTGTACAAAATTGAAATTGTATATATAAAATATGTAGAGTCCTATATTTTAATAAAAAATGAATTACATTGTCAAGTAACAAGTGAAGATGTTTTATATGCATTGATTTGCTTTCTTTCAATACACGTTTTTAATTGTATGCTGCAAAATGATAACATTGACCACGCCCACTTTCCAGGGGTAGGGTACTATAAAGTCATATTAAAAATCATAAATAGTACATTATCATTATTATAATTGTATAACAATATCAAACAAAGCTTGAATTAGTTTTTAGAAAACAATTTAGAGCTATTTAGGCTGCCATCTTTTGCTGGAAGCTACAAATATAAGATACGTGAGACTTAAAAATGACTAAAATTGCGTATTTTTTTCCTATTAATTGCAATATTTCTGAGACTAATACAGATATCGGCCTATAACTTTAGGATATTATTCATCTTTGGACTAGTAATGTGTGCTGTAGAAAGCAGAACAATAGCAACTATATCCTTTATGTTATGAAATAGTCTTATAGTACCCCCTGAAATCGCAGGAATTGAAGTCCAATTCGGCCGTGAAAATTGTTTTTACCACTTTAAAGGCCATCACCTTATATTTTCTTACACCTACTAGGTTACTCTAACATACTGCATTGCCAAAAGTTACTTCTTGCAAACTTCCGGCAAAACTGTGCCAGCATCTGATACATATATTATTTGAAACAATGGTCTTCTGTGTTTATGAGTATGTTATGGTTATGTCTGCATAAGTCTTTCAAAGATACATAATAAACAGCTAATCCTTCCTGTTCTACGATCGATTTAGATTTTATTCAAGTTGTAAACTATTTCGACCTCTGTCTATCTCATAGAGTTTGCCGACATCGCATAATGACAACCAATTACTAAGATTCACGTTTTAAGAGAACGTCTACGTAAACGTGTAGAATTATTAAGTTCTCCCATTAGTAGTATGTATTTGCCCAATTGAGCATATAGTAAGGAAAATAGCTGTAACAAGGTTCCAGGAAAAACAATAAAGAGGGGGACAGTATTCCCTCGAGGACACATCAACGTATTTAAAGTTCTATAAGAACGTGTAACTTGACCATTTCAGTGTATTTTAGAAGAATTTGAAAAACTGCAATTATCTTAGTCGAGGTGAATGCATATTTCGGTTTTATCCTCCCCCACGCTCCATTTTTTCTATTGTGATTTAATTCCATCTTCGAATTCCACGTTGTTATACCACTGAAGTTGGAGCAACTAAAGCCTTGAGAATCAAGATGATTTAATTCACATTCGGGGTCAATCGGTGCCCTGTAAAATGAGGACTATACTCCTTTCGGGATTATACTTTATTTTACACCAGATTTGATGAACGCTGCACATGTTCTCCAGACACTCAAATTAAAACGTGTCTTCTCCAACAAAATTACAAAATCGCTGATTATTTCAATTTTAGGTTCAGCTCCAGACGGCGGTGGTGTTTGATCTCCGCTTCTACATATCTCTTGCTATGGATAAACATTCTATAGAATCGACTTAAAAGAAATTAGAATTGCTAATCTAAAGCAATACGCTCCTTGCGTATTTTCATTTCGATATCATTCTATCACATTCCCGATCCTGAAAAGATTAGCTTGTACTTGCGCATATAGAGTTCACTCTTGGGACACATCTACTTCTTCAATTTGCTTCTTGATCGACCTATACCTAATAATATGATCATGATTCAGTCTATGAAAACCATAGATCTAGCGTGATAGCATCTAAAATCTGATTTCCATGCAAGTTATTTCTTGAATTTACTTCAGTCGTATCAGATCAACTTTTAATAATTTAATAAGAAGAAAGCACTAGTTACTCACCCCTTACAAAATCCACTGCTTGTTCAAGGCCGTAAGTGTCCCTGTCACAGTCATCCTTGATTCGAGCACCTAGTTTGACTCCGGGTATTTTAAGAGTGGGGTCAGAATTTATCCTGTCTAAAGTGAATAACATGGCCTCAGTTGCTTGAATGCCACCTTGGGGCATAACCTTACCACACACAATGGAATCGCTTCTCTCATGTACCATCATAAGTCCTCCTATGGTTATATTCCCTTCCACAACGGCTACTTGCTCACGCCTCGGCCATGTAAAGTTCCCATATCTACTGGTATACGTTTTCTGTTTCTGCCAAACAGCCTCGTCCTCTTCATCATCTATGTCATGTTTCTGCGTCACATTGACGCGATATGGTTCGATGTAAGTATTCGGTTTAACATCTGTTGCGAGTTCTATTCCTTCTTCACCAGCTCCTGTGATATCACCTTCCTGTGCTCTGACATGCCCGTGCATTGATACAACAAATACCACAAATAAGAAATAACCCATTGTTTCATTTATTCATTCAGCATGAAACGCCTTCCAAATTATGTTTCAAAAACATTAGTATTTGTAAGAAATAACAGAGGAAAATATCTTATTCTAACGTGCGTTTGTTGCCTTGTCACTATTCCATTTCAAGACGTCGAGAATGTGCATCCGAATCCCTACTACTTGGTCTCCAGGGAATAAGCCAATAATGTGTTGACAGAAAATATTCCGGCATCCAAACACGGTAAATCAAGGGTAAAGCATTAGTTTACTTCAGAATCTTTTGCGCAAACAAAGTGAACTGTAGAACGTCATCTTCAATATCCTTCTTCTGATAACAGGATGATTTAGGATAGCGAACACCATCTCTAAGTAAAAAATAAATATCTTTGATGCTCTCGTCCCGATTTTCTCTTATTTCAATCCTGCGTAATTTCACTTATCAATTCTTCTACGGAAGACTTGGTGTTCGCGATGAAAAGAGCGCACGGCTTGATATAGAAGTTACTTATATGCGGCTAGATTAGTATTGCAAGTGACTGACTCTGCCTCATAGACATATCAGAATGATAAGTTGTCTCTCACTCAACGTGGATATTAGGCGCAGTAGATTGCCATAATCATAGCTCTTCTGGGTAAATAATACTAATTGCTTGAGATTGGTTTATAGAAGGTGTATCATATAAGAATGTCTATTATGAATTTAATCATTTCGTTAGCTCTGTGTCTTCCGCTCCTATCGACAAATGCATGTTTTTAAGTTCTAAGGAAAATAGTAAAAGCACAGCCATGCTTATCTGAATTTGTAGAAGTAAACAGCATTATTGTGATAGTAGTTATATTTACATGAATATCATCACGAATGCAATAACGTTGCCTTGATATGCTATTACCCACCCGATCGTCACACCTGTGGTAGGCACGAAATGGCATCAACAACGGGGCTGTTCGAAAGCATACCTCTAATGAACATTAAAATATTTTGCAAGAGGCGGCATGGATCATTCACTTTGAATAGTTAGAGAATCTTAATAACAAATTACTTCAAACGCAACTCGAATCAGTCCGTAAATTTAATAGTCTCGAACTTAGAGAAAACAACTTTAATCAAAGCACTCATTCTAGATTACTAACGTATCTATCAGGCAACATTTGTTGCGCGAAACATGGTCCATTTGCTAATTCTGTCTTAATATAGAGATCATTGTTGATTCCTGCGGCTGTGGTGACTGGGCATAAATGTAATTGACCAGTTTAACGTGCAGAAAATGATCAATGTGTTTCCGACAACAGGCTCGCATCTTTTCAACTTAAAGAAGGAAAATCAAGTACATCAACAGGATACTTCGACTTTCTTTCACCAGCTGGTCGATCTTAGAAAAGAACACAACATGTTTGGGATCACTCTCCAATAAACAATGTTCTCTGTTTTGTGCCCAAGCTCACCAGGTCCGACAGAAACATGGCAATTAATATTAATTAAAACGATGATTTTACTTAAGATAAAATATATCTGCAGTAGAACCTGTATATCTGAACACCTGGCTAATCCGAACACCTCCCAATCTGAACACTTTTTCCGTCCCATTTTTCCTCCCATTGACTCCCATGTTAAAAAATCTTGGAATGTGATCACCTCCCAATTTGAACAATGAACAGTCATATTTGAAAAAGTAATATGTCTAATCTGAACACTTTTAGTGAAACTTCATACAAGGTTGCTCAAATATTGTTATGATATCAACACTTTGTAAAAAAACTTGAATGGTCTTGATTATAATGGGGTTTTCCAGCATGACTAGATTCATTTGAATTGAATTTTAAAATTTCTGAAATGCCATTAAGCTATGTGGTCAAATGGACTACAATTATGTACCGAGAATGCGTTCACATTTATTCAAAATCCGGAATCTCGTGAATGCAAAGACCTCGAAATGTGAACACCTCCTAATTTGAACGCTTTAAGCCGGTCTAAATGGCGTTCGGATTATACAGGTTTGTATTATATTTTGAAACTTTTTCTCGAGGTTACCTCTGAAATTTAAAACACATTCAATGTTTTCAACATTACTTAAAATTGATTCGATCAAAAAATCAACGTTAAACACAGTTTAAAGGGGTAAGTCTACGGGTAAAATGTGAAAATCCAAGCAAGATTATTCATTCCATACACCTTACCTTAATAAATTTTAGTATGTACAAATCAGCTTTGGGAATTGTATCGGAATTTAAATTACACATTCTAATTAGTTGCGATAGTGAATTAGACCGTTGTTTGTGTCCCCTTCGATCCTGGAATAACAAGTGGTCGAATAATACATTAAACTTGACAAGACTGATTTCAGTTGTAACTGTCTCGGATGCGGAATTCCCTTCTACTGATAATTCAAATGATGTGTTGCCATTTGATTGCGTTCCAGAAGCTCAGCGTTATTGGGCCGGAATCAAACAAATGAAAAAGGGACAGATACCGATAGCAATAGGTTATGTCTGCATTCAATAATGAATCTATCAACTAGCAATGAGTTGATAACAAAGATAGGAGTTGATTGACTAAAATTGCTTTTGGTGCTTGTGTGGAATTGCTATTTCTTCCTTCAAGTACTCATCTTATTTTTAACACTTGCAAGGGCTATCTAGAAGCAAGTGATGTTTGATTATGTTGAACATTCGGAGAATTGGATTTGAGCAAATTGTTTACGTCTTTTCAAACCATCGTGAATTATAGGCGCAAAATCAAAAATAGAGGGCGCTATCTCACCTTTGGCCAATACCCCGCAACCAGCGGTTCCCTTTCATTACAATACTATAATACACGACATGCTTTGTAAATGGCGTGCAGAGAAACAGTGCCGAAGGACCAGAATCAAAAAACTGTCCAATAACCATTTATATTTTGTGTTACTCTCTAGATCTGCTAGTTGGGTTTTGGATGGAACAAGAATGTTTCGTGTTGCATGTAAATAATACGACCAATGAATTGTTGGTGATTTACTGTATAATCATTTTATTTGCATTGCAGTTTGAAATGATACGATTAATTTGACTTCTAGGTTAAGCATATTATAAGTTTGTTTTAAAAAAATTTCCAGTTGTGTGGAGTTGAATGGAGTTTAACATCAGAACAATTGAAAATTAAACAATGGAAAATAATTGCTTATTCGATAATCCAGTGATTTTATTTGTACACTCTCAAACAGGTTTCATCCCTCGGTCATCTGCTGTTTTTAGAACCAAGTCTATGAAATGAGGAACTGAATCTTCTTTTGGCTTGCTACTAGCTAATTGTTATTGATAAATGATAAAGAATTGAATAATTGGACTTATGAATAATGTTTATTGCTTTGTATTCTAAACCTTTGGACAGTTGTTTTGTCTTATTGACATATAGGACTTGATTGTTTTACATGTCTAATTATTTAATCATAAATATTGATATGTCCACGAATTGACATGGAATAATGTCTTTAGATCTCAGTTCGATGAAATGATGAATGATTCGTCAGTTTATTGGTAGCGATCCAATTTAAGAAGTATAACTTTACCTTTAATTGGTAACAAGAAGTTAATAGAAATTCATGGTTCAATGGTTTGATTAATCATCAACGGACACAGACCCTTGGGCTTAGAGTACGACTTCGCATGGAGTCTAAAAATGCATCTATCACCTGCATACATATTGATCCATTTCTAATTTCTAGCCTGGCAAATGTTTGTGCTATATACCTCCTGGTACCTTAAGTTAGACCTTTGGGTAGTAATTTCATTTTTTGTACATGTCGTGTAATGATATCATCGTGATTTTTAAATCATTTTTGAAAAGTGAATAAGCAACGTAAATAATTCACATAATACCTTTACGTATATCTCCTACCCCTTTCATTTTTCTGAGTAACCACTTTCGTCAAAAGTTACTTTTAAATGTCGTGATCGGTCCCTTTAGGTGGTCGTCTCATTACACAGTTTCTTTGACTAGATATAGGTCAACATTACCTACTAGCAATCCTTAATTGGGAACCACTGTTTCCCATCTTGATTCACAAGGTTTCGATTGTTCCTACCTCAGACCAAGTGGAAGGTGACAGTGACTGTTTCCAAGGTTAACGACAATTACATATGACATTAACTAGCCAATGTGTCTTCAATTGAGATATCTTGTATCGCATTGTATTGGATTGTGCTGCCTTGCATCATTATTGTAAGTGCACTGCATCGTACAGTAGTAACGTATTGCATGACTAATGCAATACAAAACATCATTTCAATGTGTTCTATTGTAATTGCCATTAAGTTATATTCCATAGTGTTTTAATTAAGGAATAAGCACAGAAGAGCAGGTATTATATCAACGAATAAATACCGCAGGGCTATACACTAACCTTTTCTGCAACCCGAACGACAGAAGGGAGTGAAGGGTTTGAAAGCTTTTGTGCCTAGCCCTAGGACATTTATTACTCAATATTATACCGAATGAAACAAAAAATCAGCAAAAATTGCCATTTCATTTCCCACTTCCGGTTTTGCGTTTGCACTGAACGAAACACTTAGTACAGACCAGAGGCCTCATTATTATCTGGTCGCAACGCAAAATCGCATGCGAATCGCATCGCAAGACATCGCAACGCAACTATTTCCCAAAAATGTTATTATCATTCCATCGCATCGCAAGTCTGACGCAAAGTTATCGATTTTCTGATCGCAACTAAACAAAAAGTTGCGACGACGTTTACCCTGTCGCAAATCAAATCGCAAATCTAGTTCATCTTTGAGCGTTATTTTATCTATGTTAATGGATATTTTGTGGTGTTTTATATCGGTCATTTCACTACCTGTTAAGTATTAATCAATAGTATCGAAGATATTGTTCAATTTTATTTATTTAATATGATTTAAATATACATTTAATTGAGCCTGTAAATCCTTAAAAATAACGTTTGTTTCTAAATATTGCGAACGCATCACATACTGTATACGTCTAAGAT